TTCGCACACCTATACATGCCCACATAAACACACCAATGAATGCAGGTTAAACAAATAGAGAAAACTGAATAAGACTTGTAGCCTAGTTATCAGAGTGTATCATTGTCCATTTTCTGAGTTTTTTTTTTTTTTCCTTAACCCACATCACTCAGAAAATTTTCTTGTTTTGATACTATACTATAGCTACAAAATACATCATCATTCAGGTTAAGCTGAAGGAAGTAAGATGAAAGGCATGTGTAACTCACTGTGAGTCTATAATTACTTCTAAATTAAAAGTTAAAAATATAGAATGTATTGCAAGCTTTTGAGTGGCTCAGTTTCTGATAAGTAAAAAACGGTATCTCAGTTTTAATCTGCAGCTCTCTTATATTAATCACAAGTGAAGTTATGGGCATATTTTACAACATTTATATGTATAGTTGACCTTTGAACAACTCATGTTTACAAGTGCTGACCCCCTGAATAGCTGAAAATCTGCATATGACTTTTGCTCCTCCAATACTTAACTATTAATAGCCTACTACTGACTGGAAGCCTAACTGATGATCAAAATTGTCAATTAACACATATTTCATATACGTATTATAGATTATATTCTTAAAGTAAGAGAAAATATATTTACTGTTCATTAAGTGGAAGTGAATCAATTATAAAGGTCTTCATCTTCATTGTCTTCACCATGAGTAGGCTGAGGAGGAGGAGGAGGAAAGGGAGGAAGAGAAGAAGTTGGTCTTGCTGTCTAAGGGCTGGTAGTGACAGAGAAAATCCACATATAAGTAGACCTGCGCAGTTCAAACCCATGTTGTTCAATGGTCAACTGTATTTTAATTTTTCTATGAAATATTTATTTCTATCTTTTGCCCGTTTTTCTACTTTAAACTTTATCTACAAGATTCCCTTTCCTTTCATATATTATAACCCTACACCCTGTATGTTTCTTTCCAACACAATTAGCATTGAGTATTCCGTTTGATGGCAATAACAAAGACAGAAGCCATCCAGCAAAAAGACACATTAATCTTACCACTACATAAGATTCTTTGAATGTTCTCTTTAGGGACTTCATAAATATAAACAACCAGATACTTTTGGAAGAATCTTCTCCATTACATCATCACCTAGCCTAAAACATTAAACCATTAATGTCAGAGATACCCAGTATAATTTTCCTAAAACATATAATCTTTACTCACCACTTATCAAAGTAGGATGAACTCTTAAGTCTGTATTAACAACCTGACTACATTAAACAAAGCAGAGTACAAGAATTGATACAAGGTGGATAAGCCTTCATCACATGAACAAAACATCTCAGAAGCTATTACATTATTATTATTAACACTTGTTCCCCAGGCAAGAAATAGCTCAGATTTATGTCATCATTCTGAAGCATTTTATTTCCATTAGAGATTTTGCCACATTGCTAACTTCAATTATATAAATGTGTAAAAAGCAAATTATACCACTTAACTTATTCTGGTCAAGAAATGCTTTTAAATAAAACATGAAAGTAACACAGATAAAAATGGATGCAAAGTCAACCAAATCCATTCCTCCTTAATGCAGTTAACACACAATGATCCCATCACCATAAAATCAAACTAATCAATATGGCAACAGAAGGATGGTGAATCCGATTTTATATACTAACACTGTAAATACAAAAAATATATCATTATTAAAGGCTCAAGGGATTTAAACAGTAAAAATCAATGTATTGTCAGCTTTTCATATAAAATCTGAGTTGTATTTGGAAAAGGAAAAACATTACAGTTTAGGCTAAACATCAGTGGAAGGGGCTAAAAGCGATAAATCTAAGACATTAACCACTGCAGTTTTAATACAATCCAGCATAATCTAAAAACAGCCTGTACTCAAACTGAACTATATATCAGAGACAAAAACATTTTATTGACAAAAAACAGATTCATGTTAATTAAAAGAAAGACAGTATTATACTGCACACATCTTGTTGCTTTAAAAATTGTAATTTTTAAAAAAAAAATGTACATACTAATTTACCTTTTATTGAAAATCAATTTCTTTCCTGTCCTCTAACAGAATTTTTTAATCAAGTTAAAATTTCAGAATATGTCATAAGTGGAAGATTGGGGCTACCAACCATTAACAGAAAAGGTAGAATGTTCCATGTTGAACAATATTTAAGATTCTTAACTTTTAAAAGTTAACATTTCTATGATTCTTCTTAATAAACATATTTGTTTCAAGTGTTATCAATGCATTTATCATAGACAAATGAACTTTTGCAACTCTCCAACCTACAGTACATTTCCATACTACAAAACTAAGACTTCCTTTTTAAAGGTCATAAAAAGTTAATGAACTTGAAGAAAAAATTAAACCACATTTTAAAACATAAGGCCTAAATGTTATGTTTTTATATAATTATATGTCCCCATACTTCCATTTAACAAAATAAATATATGAATTACACCTCTATTTCATCAAAAATACCGAGATAACAGTTTCTATTTTGAAATAACCCCAAATCTCTCCATCAACAAATGCTGGATCTTTAACAGATGTATGGTCCTAGACAATGTTGAGGAGACTTGTTACTACCCAATAAATGTGGGTGGCCTTGTAGGTGAATTAATTAAAAATCAAAAAATCAAAGAACAAAAGGAATTTTTTTACTCTAACACAACACTAAAGGTTTATACTTTTCATTTCAATTAAAAAAGAGAACATTTGTGTGTATCCACATCAACTAATTAACACAAGGTCATTACAGTCAACTGAAAAGTTTTCTAGCACTTCATTAAAAAAATATAACTCTGTAACATATTTGGCTAACCACAAAGTTAAGACAGGAGAGGCAGAGAATTCGTATTCAGATTTCAAGTAAAATACAAGAGCCAAATTTAATAATCCAGAATTTCAAAGTTTTTTTGTTTCAATTGCAGAAAAATGTTCTTGAAATGCTGTTAATCTTACTATAGGAACTAGCACATAAGCAGCTGCCAAGTGTAATTTTTCATCAAGACATCAACCCATATATACTGGAAACAGATTTTCTCAAAACATATGCAATATTTAAGGCTAATACCTTAACAGCTCACACAGTTTCTAAGCATTGTGTTCTGAATACAGAATTAAATATATATTCTATATAAAAACTAAAAGAAATTTTATTTCACCAATACTGTCCTACTCCTATCTCATTCTAGGAATTGATTCTAGATTGTATTTTTATATCAGTGATCACACACTATCAGAATAAAAAAAATTACCTTCCTTTAAGAAACATATATTTAAAGTGAAGACTATGACACAAAAGAAAATAGAGTTCCTGAGTGCATGGGGGAAAAACAACCCAAATTCTATCTTACCAGCAAGATTTATATGCAAATGTAACATGTATTTCCATGCTTATAATCACTCATTGTAAATGTTTCTAAAGCTAGATTGTTAACATTACAGTACATTGTATCTGAAGATACAAGATTTTATAATAAGCTATTGCCACATATGTATTCTGATATGCCACTTTAAGATTTCACATATTTTATATTGATAAGAAAACATCTGTTATAAATTCTCATACTACTCAGTAAATTATGTAAGTTGCAATTATTGATTAATTTTTTTTTATAAATTCCTCCCAATAGGTATGGTCCTGCCTTTAAAAAGAAATTTATATGGCTGGGAGCAGTGGCTCATGCCTGTAATCCCAGCATTTTGGGAGGCCAAGGCGGGCATATCACCTGAGGCAGGAGATCAAGACCAGCCAGGCCAACACAGTGAAACCGCGTCGCGTCTCTACTAAAAATACAAAAATTAAGGCTGGGCATGGTGGCTCACACCTGTAATCCCAGCACTTTGGGAGGCTAAGACGGGCCGATCACTTGAGGTCAGGAGTTCGAGACCAGCCTGGCCAACATGGAGAAACCCGACTCTACTAAAAAAATACAAAAATTAGCTGGGCATGGTGGCGCACACCTATATCCCAGCTACTCAGAAGTCTGAGGTAGGAGAATTGCTTGAACCCAGGAGGTGGAAGTTGCAGTGAGCCAAGATCGTGCCACTGCACTCTAGCCTGGGCGACAGAGCCAGACTCTGTCTCAATAAATAAATAATAAAAATACAAAAATTAGCTGGGCGTGGTGGCACATGCCTATAATCCCAGCTACTCGGGAGGCTGAAGCAGGAGAATCGGTTGAACCCAAGAGGCAGAGGTTGCAGCGAGCCGAGATCGCACCATCACACTCCAGCCTGGGTGACATCTCAGAAAAAAAAAAAAAAGAAAAAAGAAAGAAAAAGTAATTTATTAATCTTATAATTTGGGTTATGACAAATGTTATTACATACACAAAAAAGAAACAATAATTGAGTCTCTGGGATGGCAAGTAAAGAAAAAGAATATTATGAACAGAACACTATTAAATGTTACATAATTATTTATTTATGAAACAAATGTCCTCACAGATGAGAGAATCTCTTAGAACCTGGACTTTACCTTCAGATTTGATACATTAATAATGTTCAAAATAGCAGGTTCTAACATGTTACTAATAATTTTTTTTTTTTTTTTTTGAGACGGAGTCTCGCTCTGTAGCCCAGGCTGGAGTGCAGTGGCCGGATCTCAGCTCACTGCAAGCTCCGCCTCCCGGGTTCACGCCATTCTCCGGCCTCAGCCTCCCAAGTAGCTGGGACTACAGGCGCTGCCACCTCGCCCGGCTATTTTTTGTATTTCTTAGTAGGGACGGGGTTTCACCGTGTTAGCCAGGATGGTCTCGATCTCCTGACCTCGTGTTCCGCCCATCTCGGCCTCCCAAAGTGCTGGGATTACAGGCTTAAGCCACCGCGCCAGGCCTGTTACTAATCATTTTTAAAGAAAAACTTCATTTGAAATAATCTCAATTCCTCAAATTCCAAATTGATAATCTCCTAGACCAAACACATTTTGACTAATCTTGATCTCAGCCCCATCTTTGCAAGTAACACACATTGTGCGCACCAAAAGTTCTTCTTACCTGGCCCTCTCCAACAGTTTCGGTGTCAATAACTGTGATGATGCCTGGGACCAAAGGACTCCGTCGCGAATTACTGTGGATGGCAACGTCATCTTCTGTCACACCTGAAGGTAGCGTGCCTGTCAGCTGAGTCACCACTTTCCCCACCATTGTCAGGCCACTTTTCAGTGTCTGTACAATGAAAGGTAAAATGTATGACTTCACATCAGTATTTGGATTCTACATAGAAATATGCATTTTATTAATTTTCCTAATCATTATGTTAAATTCTTTTATATAGCAGTAAACTGTCACAGACATTCAGTTTGACTTTTAATGATCTTGAATTTTAATTAGAATATCACTATTAGTTTGAGGGAATGGCATCAGTAAAGTCTCTAAAGTCATCATGGCAGGGATAAAGCCATAGTTAAAAAAATTAAAGAGCTCTGTTTTACATAAGGGTGCAATTACATTTTTATAAAAGATATTTCTTTCATTCTCTCCTCTTAATGTATACATCTTAAAATCAATGACATAGAAAGAAGCAGAAACTATGAAATGATCAATTTTTTGAAATATTATAAATCTAATTGTATATCTGTTTTCTAGTATGAAAAAGACTGAGACATTGGTAGAATACCTATGTGGAAAAGAATGTGCTTCCAAAGCAAATATATAAATATGCTGGTATATAATACTGTATACCAAGATTTGGTATATGGGAAACACAGTCTCTGTCTAAGATATTAATTACTGGATGAATGAAGTATCATACTAAATTAGTTGAGAGTTATTTTCTATCTGGTAACAGAAAACAATTAAATGTGGTGCTCCTACTATATTATTTCAATTAAAGATAACTTAAGATGTTTATAATTATATTTTAGCTCCATTTCATTCAAAACATGTAAGTAAAACTAACTCATGAAATATTTTTTCTTCTATGTAAATATCCTCTGATTATCCTCATATGCATTAACAGAAACATTTTTCTAAATAACAAGTTTTTTCATCTGAAAGGAAGAAAGCTTCAAGTTTGAGTCTATAGAAAAAAAAATGAAAGGAAGAAAACTAAAATAAAGACAAATATATGGGAGTCACACATTGCTGAAGAAGGGTATCATCAGTAGAACCAAAACAGGCACCCTAGAATACTTAAATATATCAAAAACTACATTTTAAATAATATAGGTACATTTTTCCAATTCTCATGTTGTTAGAAAAAAAGTTTCATTAAAATACTTCAAATTAATCTTCAATGAGGTGACTATCTTTTCTAAAACAATTATGAAAAAATAATTCTCACCTAATTCTGGCACATGCTACGGCTAAATTTGAAAATATAAACTATTATATACATGGTATTTCAAATTTTAATTCATAAATAGTACACAAAGACAGTTGTGTATAGAGGTCTAAACGTGATTTAAGCAATAATTAGATTAAAATTGAAAAGGGGAGAAGTATTTTCCAAAGAAATGTTCTATTAAAATACCATAAAACTAGCACTAATAATAGATGCATTATTTTATTTTGCTATGTTTCACGGTGGTTTTTCTATGGACTAGGGACTGGTGAAGGCACTTAACATAAACTACGTTGATAGATTTCCTCAGATACTTCAATTTTATGAAAGAGAAAATCAAGGCTAGGGAAGTTAAGTAAAATGGAAGCTCAAACAGTTACCCAACGACAAAGTCAGAATTCAAAACTGGGACCATCTGTCTCCAGGGCCTGATTTTTACACTATCCTGTACTGCCTTGTAATCTATTTCTGTTACTACTTGTGATCTCAGAGTTAATGAATACAAAACACAGATGTCTGATGGGTGGAAAAGAGGAAAAATTAAAATCCATAATAATGTACTAATAAATACTTAAATAAAAATGACCAGCAAAGCCATCTGCTGAATTCAAACAAAAAGATATAACTTAACAGCAGACTAAAACCAAGAGAAAGCCACAAATCAATTGTAACTGTTTTGTTTAGTGCTAAAAACTCAAACTCCAGTGATTATAAAACACATTAGCGTTCCTCAATTAGCAGCCAAACGTTTCTTTCAATAATTCACAAGAAACGACTTACACAAATTCTGTTAGACTGTTGTCAAGTAAGCCTCTGAAGGACCAACAGAATGAGGCGCCACAGTGTATTGATGTCAAGAGCAGGCCAGGAAGCCTGATTAACCTCTGAGATGCCTCAGTTGATGTACTCACTCCATTAATGCTAATGGAGATGCTCCCACTTAAACGCAGCTATCCCTTTATCAAAGGAATGCCTTTTAGTTTTAAAGTCTTTGGTTGTATATCCTCCCCATTTGCCCCTGAGCCTATTATTTCATGCTCTTATACCAATGAAAAGGAATAAAACTAAAAGAACTGGAGCACATGAAAAGTGGAAAGTAATGTGTACCAAAGCAAACCACAACAGTAAAAGTTAACATAAGACAACCAGGAAAAGAATCCACAAAGAGAAGACGGCAGTATATTTCATAGTCAATGGCTCATATTACACGAAGAGTGTTTGATATTTCCCTGGGGGGGGGAAAAAAAAAAAACCATGACTATTGATGGAGGTGTCTTAGTAGTGGACAAAAATCTAAACTCAAAATTTAAGTCATCACATCTGCAATCTGTATAGCAAGTTACAAGATACTACTATTTATCATAATCCATTAACCATGCAGGGAGTCGGGGGGTTAGAGAAAAGTGCTGAAAGTTTTCTGCATTTGTAAAGACCCTTGCTTTTAGGGTAAATTTGTTTCCATGTTAGCATCAAGCACATCTATGGGCATTAGTGTCCAGAAGTTACCTGATAATGTTATTGAACAGAAATCTAAATCACCTCACAGTAATTTGTCTCTCCAATTAATTTTAGTAGACAGAGTATGTATATATCTGTTTTCTCAAATATATATGAAAAATTATAAAGCCTCAGCAAAAATTAGGAATAGAGAAGTATAACCTGGCCAAAAGGAGATGAAAAATTAGACTGAGTGTCCTCACAATCTGAGTTATCTACATAAAAATGTTCATTAAATCACTGATGAATCTTCACACAAGTACTCACATAACTAAACTGGAGCTGGAAGACAGCTGAACATCAGAGACTATAACGAAAGTGTGAGAAAATCCGTTATGACCTATAATTCAAATGAGCACGGTACTTAACTCTGTTCTGCTGCAAGCAGATTTGCCGAGGGGTCACTAGTCATCTTTAACCTTTCCCATGCCATATCAGGTGGCCTCCCTATCCATTAGTGCTAATGGTGCTGCTCTCACAAAAGCTGTTAGTTGTCATTAAGAAGTTATCAGATAACAAGAGAAAACAGGGGCATTTTTATTAAATCAATTGACCACACTGGGGTTAACACACATGAAAATAAGACCGTAATGAGGGAACTAGAAAATATGGACCAAGATTTTATAAATGTGTCAAATAATCTCATTTGAACAATTTCAATATTAATTTTTTTCCTTTTTCACTACCGTAAAAAATTAATGGTTCTGATATTCTTTATGAGGAAAGTCAAATTACTTGGAAAATCAAAGGAAAAAACATTAATATTATGCAAGTTGTATTTGGAAATGCAGAAAATGTAAAAAAGATTATTTCCTCTAAGGAGCTCCATCCAAGTGCATATGCAATGAATATATTTATCCTCACAATTGCAGTGAGACAAAAAATTTAAGACAAAAAAATTAATAATTAATCATTCTATATAACAAAGTGGTTAATAACCTCTATGAAGCCACAAGGGAAGTTGTCATCAGAAAGAGTAAAAGAGTAATGATTACACTTTTAGAGAAAGTGACTTAATGAAATAACTATAAAATTACTTTAAGATAAGTATTTTTCTTAAGGAGCACATACTACATGGCTTTTTAACATACTCTCCGTGTTATATCTCAAAAAATGTATCACCTAGAAATGGTTAAAAAAGAAATAAGGAAACGTATTTTCTAGTTGCAATAATGGCAGGCTGGGGAAATCAGATCAATCTGATTTCCACTAATGAAAACAACTAGGAAAATCGAAGAGAGTATTTTTGTAAAATGCTGCTTGAAGGTACTGAGTTACAAAGTCAGAATCCGAAAGAATAAGGAAATTCAGACATTTCAGCTGGGCATTTAGACCGAGAGGTATCTGGTGATTCTAGGAAGCAGGAGGTAGGGTGCTAAGAAACTAAGTGGTGTTTTTGATAGATGGAACTAGAAAATCATCTATGAAAGTCAAAGTCCTGCCAAATAGGTCTATTTGGTGACATTCCCTCCAAGTTTGGTTCTGAACATAAAGAAATATACAATAGAAGAGTCCACCGACAGCAATAAGGCGAGCACAGCTATTGCAGGTGAACTTCATTTAAATAATCTTAATCCCTGAAATTGGATTATTACTCAAGACTGATACTGTCCCAGAACTCCACTGTCATCCCAAACTCAAAACTATTTCTAAAAAGTTTTGAAATAAATTCTGGCAAACAAGTGATAATAGGAGTTAAAAAGAAATTAAGCAGGCAGTTAGTGAGAGTAAGGGAGTCCTCAGCAAGGTTTTCCTTTATATAAAAATCAGCCCCGAAATTATTTCTTTTCTAACAAAAAGCAGCCTGAAAGATCAAGCTGCAAGCATAGGTGAATGCCAGCAGCTATGCCAATAGAAAAGGGATATCTGGAAGTCAGGTATATTCAACATAGAGGTTCCCTCTTCCCTTTTCGTTGTCACCACATGTGCAGGCAATATGGCACCAGCCAGATAGAGACTCCATTTGCATAATAAAAGATTGTGGTGGGATAGCCAGCCTCTACACGTTATGTAAATGGCACACCTGGTCCAACCAATCCACTACACCCTATGTAAATCAAACACCACCTCCTCAAGCTCATCTATAAAACCAATCACATCTCACCCCAATCCCAGAAACCTGCTTGGGCCCCCTCCCTCTACAGGAGGAAGCGCTCTTCTTTCTTTCACCTGTTAAACTTCTGCTCTTAAACCCACTCCTTGTGTGTCCGCATCTTCAATTTCCTTGGCATGAGACAACAAACCTCAGGTATTACCCTAGACAAACGACGCCGCTTCACAAGGACTCAAGTCATCATAAATGAGAACCAGCAGAAACAACACACAACAAAAACGGACCCAAAAGGGAACCAGACATTAGAGTTATCAGAAACAGACTTCAATATGACCAGGTTTACTGTGTTTAAACAAGTTTGATAATTTGAGAAAAATTTAAAAATCCAAAGAACCAGAAACTATTTATTAAGATATTATCAATGAATATATGTTCAATTTTATCAAATACTTTTTGTTCATCAATTGTGATAAGTATATAATTTTCTCCTGTTAAATGTGCAAATTATGTTCATTGATCTTGAGTGATAAACCAGCCTTATATTGTGGATTATCTCAAATGGATTGTGATACAATACATAGCGTCCTATATATTGAAGAATTGTGTTCTATATATTCTTATCCCAAGTGGGTTGTGACACAGCAAATATTGTGTCCTATATATTATACTATAATTATGTCCATATATTCTTATCCCAAATGGACTGTGATACTATATATATGGTATCTTATATAATGTTGTTTTTCTGCAAATATTTTATTTAGGATTTTTCACATCTATGTAGTGTTCTTGTATTATAATGTTCTTCTAAAGTTTTAGTATTAAGGTGATCTGGCTTCATCAAACCAGATTAGGCATAATCTGACTTTGCTTATTCTCTGGAAGAGTCTTTGTAATATCGCCATTGTTTATTCTTAAATAATAAAAAGAATTCTCTTGAGAAGGTTTCTAGGTCTGGAGACGTCCTTGTGAGTTTTTTTAAAGTAACCCTTATATTCTCCCAAACAGAAAAGTAAACAGATTGCAGTGGCGCAATCATGGCTCACTGTAGCCTCGGCCTCCAATGCTCAAGCAATCCTCTCACCTTAGCCTCTGGAGTAACTGCGACAACAGGCATGCACCACCAATTTTTAAATCTTTTTGTAGAGACAGGGTCTCACTATGTTGCCTAAACTGGTTTTAAATTTCTGAGCTCATGCGATCCTCCCACCTCAGCCTCCCAAAATGCTGGGATTATAGGCATGAGGCACAGTATCCAGCCCTAAGGTGTTATATCAAACATAATTTCTTAGTCTTAAATGTGGAAGATATGAGTATAAGCCTCACAGTTCCCAATATTGAGGTATGAGAAAATGGGGAGTTCGCACTGTTTTTTTTCGCTTGTTTGTTTTGTTTCGTTTTTTGAGACAGTTTCGCTGCGTCGCCCAGGCTGGAGTACAGTGGCACAATCTCGGCTCCCTGAAACCTCTGCCTTCTGGGTTCAAGCAATTCTCCTGCTTCAGCCTCCCAAGTAGCTGAGACTACAGGTACCGCCACCATGCCCCGCTAGGATTCGTATTTTTAGTAGAGATGGGGTTTCACTATGTTGGCCAGGCTGATCTTGAACTCCTGACCTCGTGATCCACCCACCTCAGCCTCCCAAAGTGCTGGGATTACAGGCATTAGCCACCGCACCCAGCCCTGCACTTATTTTTTAAAACATCTTAAGTCCAGCCTCACTTACTCCAGCATGTCCATAGCAAAACATGGAATGAAGATCACTTTATTTTTATATAAGCACATAAACACATAAGAATAGCAAACAGGAGCTGAAAAGTTATCCTCCATTCCATAACTAAAAATTACTGAAAATGATCATAAGCTAAACTATCGTGATCCATGTGTATAAGACAGACAAGACTAAAAGGAGTCTAATACTTGAGAAAAAGATCTCATTGTTGTATTTTGTGGATAAATTAGTACACTAATACTGAAGATGTTTTCTAAACACTCTCAGCTCTTCATTGAAATAACCATCATAATTTTTGTATACACAGTGGAGAAAAGTGAGCAATCTTTATTAAGATTTCTGCAATTGCTGGGGTGCAGTGATGCACACCTGTAACCCCAGCACTTTGGGAGGCTGAGGTGGGTGGATTGTTTGAGCTCAGAAGTTCAAGACTAGCCTGGGTAACATGGCAAAACCCTGTCTCTACAAACTATATGAAAATTTTGCCAGGCGTGGTGGCATGCGCCTGTAGTCCCAGCTAATTGGGAGCTGAGGTGGGTGTTCACTCCAGCCTGAGCAACAGAGCAAGACCCTGTCTTAAGGGAAAAAAAAAAAAAGATTTCTGAAATCTAAAATTCACAGTGCTATAGGCATAAAGACCTAATGGTTAATTCTCTTTTGGGTGCAAAATACGTAATGCTTCTCTCGTCAAACCAAGGACCACATTCTGAAGCACATCATGTAAGCGTCTGTGATCAAATATGAAGTATTTTTGTTTTGTTTTACATAAAACAGTGTGACCTTTGATTCCCACTCTGTGGTTTGCTTTAAACTGTTGTTCTTTTCTGAATGGTTGTGCTTTCTATTATATGCTGTCATTTAGATTCACTCTGTCATTCCTATTATTAGAATTGTTTTGTTGTATACTTCACAATTCAAAAGGATAGTGGTTACAAGAATACCTTATAATCAGCATAAAGTTTACCAAACATCATCAAAATTAACCCTCACACACATGAAAAAAAGAGCTCACTTGACAAACATGAAGGGGCAGCCCCTTGATATGAAAGAATCTTTGAATGTGACGAGGGACTGACTCAAGTTTTCAGAAGGAATAATATTCTTTTCATGAGAAGAAGACTCTGAAATGCTCAAAGATGCAAAGGGATGTCAGTGTAGGTAGAACAATGAAAATCACAGAGAATCCAGAAGTCACTGTTTAAACATGGAAAGCTTCTTCCAAATGTGGTATTAATGAGATAATAGTCTTGAAGCTAGCTAACAGGCTTAAAATCTTTAAAACTGGATAAGTACAAACACTACAATCATTACAATAGAAAATATAATTCAGGAGAGAAATCTGAACAATTACTACACATAATCACAACTCTCCAAGATTTCGGAGGTACTCACTTTAGCAGCACTAATGACTGTGGCAGTATAAGACTGAATGTTGTCTCCACAGGCTCCACCACGGGACTGATGACATCGAATCAACTGAGAAAAAGAGAGAGAGAGGGGCAGAAAGTCATTTCTATTAATCTGTTTAACTCTACAGGCTATTAGGATAGAGCTTATTTACCGTGCACAGTGATGGTGATGGGTGGGAATGTTTGCATGAGTGTATTTCAGACAAACAGCTAAAAGCTCTGCGGAGACACTTTTACCCCTTTTTATAATCTACTGGTGCCACTCAAGCAGTTGCATGCTCAACTACGGTTTTCATTACAAGACGAATAGTCTTTAAGAATCCATAAACTCTGAAATGGTAGGAGGTCTGGTGGCCTTTCCACAAATAAATTTTTAAAACATAATCAAAGGACTTACACATGACTTCCTAACTTAAATATCTGACATGCTAACAAGTTAGATGTTTTATCCTGTTAATTCCTCCATAAAGATTATAAAAGAAAACATAAAAAGTAGACAAAAGATTTTGTCATATTTGCATTTTCAATTGTGTCAGTGGAAAAGTGTTACAAATTATGCATAAATCAACTATGACACATATACTAGCTGTCCATATCAGAGAGCTTAAACTTTTACCATTAGGAATGAAAAAGATATATCCTTATTTGTGACTGACATAAATAAAGCAAACTACCAATTTTCAAAGTGAATCACTACTTTGATATGCATGATTATTTCACATGCTAAGAAATAAACCAGGATAAAACTCTCCACTGGTCGTCTACTTCCTATATTTAGCAAAAAATGTCATTAGCCAGATTTCTATGTTTAACATTTTTAAAAAACAAAATGACAAGGGTAGAGTATTAGAACCGTACACATTATGAGTTTTTTAAAACCTCTGGAATTCACAAAGAATCTATATCTCACAAAACGTAAAAATTAAAAATGCTTTACATCGTTTAAAACCAGGTCCTCTGATGAAGACTGATATGTAAACCTTTTATTCTTAATTCAAAATTTTCTTCATCACTGACACTGTTATTTTAAACATCCCTGAAAGCAATAGTAATATATTATAATAGAATGGAACACCCTTAAAAGTATGATATGCAAAGTCAAGATTTTTTTTAGGCAATCTCTGTTATGTCACACTGAATGACTGCTTAAGTAGATTTCAAAGAGAAGTAAGGAACTTGCCAAATGATAGCTGTTCATCAAATGTGGTTTCACATAGAGTAAGATAAAGAATTTGAAAAGTGATCATTTTAGCAAATAAAAAGAATCTCTCTCTTGCTCACTCATCCACAAATACACATTCAAAGAATTATGAAAATTATTCCTCTGCTGCCTCCTGCTGCATGAGCAAGGAAAGAAAGGCTATTACTTATTCCCTACTTCTGGTAATTAAAATACTCAAGGACAAATATGTAAAACTAAACAACACTCTTATCTTTTTTTTTTTTTTTTTTTTTTTTAAGAGACAGAGTCTCACTCCGTCACCCAGGCTGGAGTACAATGGTATGATTTCAGCTCACTGCAAACTCTGCCTGTTGGGTTCAGGCAATTCTCCTGCCTCGGCCTCCCAAGCAGCTGGGATTACAGGCACGTGCCACCATGCCTGGATTTTTTTGTGTATATTTTTAGTAGAGACAAGGTTTCCCCATGTTGGCCAGGCTGGTCTCAAACTCCTGGCCTCAAGTGATCCACCAGTCTTAGCCTCCCAAAGTGCTAGGATTACAGGTGTAAGCCACCACGCCTAGCCCTACTTTTACCTTTCAAATTCAACTACAACTGAGTCAGCAGTTCTACATAAGAGTAACTAAGTCAGAAATTTTGGTCTACAATTTAGAATCATCAGAAAATTACGTTTGTATCTTGGTTCAACAAAATGAAAGATGAGTCAGAGTTTTCTACAGTGCAAAATCCTATCAAATGAACTAATTTCCAGGAAATATTATTAAGCACAAGAAAAAAAGGCAGTGTGCCAAAGAGCATATATACTATGTTATCTTTTGTGAACGAAAGGGATAGAGACTTTGGTCAAAAGCCATTTGATGCTCATCCCCTCCACTTAGAAGAACCAAAATAGTGCATAGAGAATCACACTTCAAATACACTGTCCCAGGTAAAACACTAGAACTCAACAGAGAACTAACAGGAAACACCAAATGTGGGTAGGAGAAGGAAGGCAGGTAGCCTGCTTGGCTAGGATAGGCTGGGAGCTGGGAGTGGCTTCCCAACACAAGGCAAGGGTAAGTAAGAGAATTCCAGCGGCCCACATCCCCCACCATGGAGCCATGCAATCTCAGCCAGGAGAGAGACCCTCAACCCTCCCAAGCCCTGAAACTTAACACAGGGAGCTGCTGGGAGACTCTCAAACAGAACCGCTCCAGGGAGGTAACCTGTACTGGGTCCCATACACTTTCTGATACCTAAGTGGCTATAGCAAGACAACATTTTCTTTTTCTTTTCTTTTCTTTTTAAGAGACAGGTCTCACTATTTTGCACAGGCTGCAATGCAGTGGCTATTCATAGGTGTGATGCCACTACTGATCAGCATGGGAATTTTGACCTGCTCTATTTCCAACCTGCGCTGGTTCACCTCTCCTTAGGCAACCTGGTGGTCCCCTACTCCTGCGAGGCCACCATATTGATGCTGAACTTAGCGCAGACACCCGATTGGCATAGTGCACTACAGCCCAGAACTCCTGAACTCAAGCAATTTTCCTACCTCTGCCTCCCAAGTAGCTGGAACTACAGGCACAAGCCACCATGCCCAGCAAGACATCATTTTCAAACCTGGTTTTGGCAGATGGCATGCTGCTCTGGGGCCTAGAAGCACTGGGACTGAGGTGTTTAAAAAAAAAAAAAAAAAAAAAAAACTCAGGAGTCTGGAGTGGTGGCTCACACCTGTAATCCCAACACTTTGGGAGGCTGAGGTGGGCGGATCACCAGGTCAGGAGTTCAAGACCAGCCTGGCCAACATGGTGAAACCCTGTCTCTACTAAAAATAGAAAAATTAGCCGGGCATGGTGGCACACGCCTGTAATCCTAGCTACTCAGGAGGCTGAAGCAGGAGAATTGCTTGAATCCAGGAAATGGAGGTTTCAGTGAGCCAAGATCACGCCACTACACTCCAGCCTGGGCAACAGAGTGAGACTCTGTCTCAGGGGAAAAAAAAAAAAACTCAGGCTGTCACTGCTAGGACTAGGGTGTGATCTGGGCACATTCCCGCAGTAGGGGCTGAGAATCGAGTAAAGCATTGGCTGTAGCAGCTACCAATGCAGGGAAGCAAGTGCTGCCAGGACAGAGACTGAGACACGAGCAGGCATGAGTTGCCACTAAGACTTGGTTGCAAGCTGGGCAGAGGCTCCTGCAGCCAGGGATGGGGGTGAGACAGGTATATGCCATTGCCACCAGGACTGGAAGGTGAGCCCCACTAGAATTGGGGTGTGAAAGAGACACATTTTCCCCACCTACCAGCCTAGCTGTGGCCACTGAGGCCAGACCTACCCTCTCCAAAGGCAGCTTCAGGGCCCCTCACCCAAGAACTGATTCTAGGACTAACCTGTCCCCACCTACCATGGCTGGTATCTGCTCTCACCATTGGGGAGCCTGAGAACAAGCCCATCCAGCCTAGTTCTGCCCTCAACCCCCCCAAAAAAGAACATATAACCCAGGGTCCTTGGGACTGCCCAACCCAATCCACTTCTTTGGGTACATAAGCATTCCTCCAGGGGGTCTAAGGTTGGGTCTTATCTCTCTGCCACTGCCTCAACAGCTGGCATCTACCTGCAAACTCCAACTACAGGCCTGGAGACTACCTCCCGAACCCCCAGACCACTGCAGCCACCACCAACATCAACACATACCACTAGGAACAAAAAGAATTATCTTGCCACTGCTACTGTCATCACCCATGTCATACTGGCTGCCCAGAGACCCAGGAACCAGCCCACCCACATCATTCACCACTGCCACTACCAGTATCCAAGCTAGCTACCTGGAAGACCAAGAATCAGCCCACTTGTAACCACCAATATAGGTGCCAGTGTACACTACTCTGGGGCACAAGGATAGGCACACTCAGCCCAATGCTGCCACCACTGCATACTGATGACCAGCCAACCTGGTATCCCAGTCTCCAGCAAAACTTCACCATAGCCACCACGAATAATCACACCCTAATTCATTAAGTAAATAATAAATACCCCTAATGATGTATACAGAAAAAAAAATCAGACTACATCACTGCACATACCCAGAATCAAGACCAAAGTGTCCTATCCAACCAGTACTATAGTTACATCTTCATTCACTAAAAAAAGTCCTCTACAAAAGTAAATGTAAAAATATGAAGTAACTGTTACACCAGATGTGTAAATATCAATGTAAAGACAGAGGAAACATGAAAAATAAAATATGATGCCTCCAAAGAAACACAATAACTCTCCAGCCAGATTCCAATCAAAACAAAATTTATGAGAGCCCATATATAGGACTCAAAATAATACTTTAAAACAACCTTGTGAGATACAAGAGAACTCTGAAAAAAATACAGAAAAATCAGAAAAACAATTCAGAATATAAATGAGACATTTACCAAAGAGATAGATAATTTTTAAAAGAGTCAAATAGAAATTCTGGCCAGGTACAGTGGCTCATGCCTGTAATCCCAGCACTTAGGGAGGTCGAGGCAGGAAGATTGTTTGAGCCCCAGAAGTTCAAGACCAGTTTGGGCAACATGGCAAGACCCTATCTCTACCAAAAAAAAAAAAAAAAAAAATTAGCCTGGTGTGGTGGCACACACCTGTAGGCCCAGCTACTCAGGAAGCTTAGGCAAAAGGATCACCTGAGCCCTGGGGGTCTAGGCTGCAGTGAGCTGTGATTGCACCAGTGAACTTTAGCCTGGATGACAGAGTAAGATCAGTGAGATCCTGTCTCTAAATAAATAAATAAATAAATAAATAAATAAATAAATAAATCTGACTACATCAGGCAAAAGGGAGAATCTCAGAACTTGAAGACAGCTCTTTTGAAACAATCCAATCAGATAAAAATAAAGAAAAAATAATTTTAAAAAT